ATGCCCAGCCAATTGATGTTACCTTTTTACTCGGACTGAAATGGCTTCCCGGTCTGGTGTCACGGTGAGGGGCTTTACATCAATGTTTGATTTGTACTGAATGTACTTGTGCTTTGCTTCGCTGTATCTGTGGCAGTGTAATAAAATGACACTTTATTATTCTAGCAGAAACAGCCTGTGAGTGTTTATTCATTGTTCCGACCATTTTCCCCGAACCTGTACTTTTAGATAATTTCATAGAACATTCCGACAGGACAGCCTTGGGTCAATGGAGGATGGTATGTATGTTTGGCTGTGGGCAAAAGAGGAGGATGCTGAGCTTGTTCCTGAACTGAACCTATTGAAGAACGTGTTCAGTTCGTTAGCTCTGTCCAAGTTTCCATCCGTCTGATCCTCCTTCTGCTTGAAGCCTGTGATCTTTTTCATCCCTGACCACACCTCTGATATTGTTCTGCTGGAGCTTGCTCTCAAACTTCTTCTTGTACACCTCCTTGCTGTTTCTTATCTTGACTTTTAGTTGTTTCTGTGTACTCTTCAATGTAGTGAACTAAGCCTCCGTTCAAAACCTGCCTCTGAAGACCTTCATGGGACAGGAACTGTTATTTCATTGATTTGAATCCAGAAATACAAATTAGCTCATCCAGAGACTTTCTAATTGTATCCTGAACTAATCAATTGAAAGAACACTCTCTTTTTCATATTATCATTACTATTTTACAATATCTTGATAATCAAAAGTGTGTTTAGTTCATACCATTTTAAATGTTGAAATGAACCACTCATTTTAAATCAACTGTGAAACAGTATTAATGATTTTTTAATCCTCATTCAAAGTAGAAATCAAGTTAAATGTCTATGTTACAAAGTAATTATGCATTTTTGATCTTCTGTCTGAAATGAGAGAGTGATGTCGGTCAAAAGTCGGAGACAGTCTCAAACAAGTTTATTGGAACAAACTGTCTTGTTTTTAAACCTCTCAGACAGAAACAAGAGAACTGACACCTGTAGTTTTTCTCTCTTCGTCAAAACATTTCTCTGTCTGTTCCTAAACAGTTTTTCTGACTTGTAATGACCCTCTGACGTCACTAAAACCACACCCCTGTTGGTTCTTTCAACCAATCAGGACTTCCCAAAAGTGACCGGAAACAGAACTCTTTAAAAGTCGACTCTTTCTAGTTCCAGTAGTTCGGAGGGAGAGTTCTAGTTGGAAAAAGTTCAGTGCCTGGAGAAAGTTCCAGTGCCAGGAGAAAGTTCTGGAGTTAGTTGGGAGTTCTTCCGAGTCTAGTTGGGATTATGGAGCCTTCCACATCTGAGTGGAACCGCTGACGGACTCACAGATCATGTGAGTCCACCCGGGAGGTGAGCGTGTTGTTGAACGGAGTACCGTCACTACTTCGGACGATTCTCAGCCATCCTAAGGAGACGCTGAAAGGTAGCGTTTAAATAGAACTCCGTACCGGAGCTGACCTATCTTCTGCAAAGGTAACAAGTCGCTTCACTACCGAGTGTACCAGGGCTGAGCTGGGGTCGGATGAAGGGTGCCATTCCTCGTCTACACACTTTCCCTCATCCATCTTTTCTCTCCATTCAAACGCCTTCCCTTCCATCTTTAAACTTCTATCTTGCCAGTAATTAATCCAGATATCTTCAGAAATGTCTGTTGTTTTCATTAAGTAAAACGTGCCAAGTTTTATTAATCAGAGCCGATAGCATAATCAAGTGTACAATGTTTTGATGTTAAATTTTGATTCTGTTAATTTTGATGGGTCAAAGAAAATTAACGTCTCATGTCACTGATTAAACCATCGATAACACAGTACCTCTGTCACATATCTGTCAAGTAGCTCGAAAAAGTGAGAACCCGTTATTAAAAATTGACCGTAGTGGAGCTCTTAAGCTAACTGAAGCTAACCTAGCCTTAGTATACTACATCAATAATTCCCTGTCTCCCTCCCTGAAGGCTCTTTTTTTCTGGTTTAGCAGTTCCTTCAAGTCAGTGGTGAGACAGGGTTTGTTATTGGGGAAGCATCTCACTGTTCTGGTGGGGATGGTGTTCTTTACACACAAGTTTATATAGTCGGTCCACACACAAGTCATGGCATTGATGTCATGTCCATGTGGCTGGCACAGTGCATCCCAGTCTGTAGCCTCAAAACAACCTCGCAGGGCTTCTTCAGCTTCCGTTGACCATTTTCTCACTGCTCTCTTTATTGCAGGTTGCCTCTGAACAAGGGGTTTACATTTTGAGCAGAGAAACACAAGATTGTGATCCGATTTGCCAAGAGGGGGTCTTGCTTTAGCGATGTATGAATCCTTGACATTTGCATAAAACAAGTCCAGCATTTTGTTTTCTCTGGTAGAGCAGCTGACAAACTGTTCGAATGTCGGAAGTGTAGCAGAGAGAGAGGCATGATTAAAATCCCCAGATATTGCAACAAACACACTAGGGTGTTGTCTGTAGCTTAGCAACCTCGGAGCTGATGACATCACACGCAGTCTCAGCAACAGCATTGGGTTGAATGTAAACAGTTGCCAAAATAACACTGGTGAACTCTCTTGGCAAATAATATGGATGACAACTTAGTACTAACAGTTCAATATCTGGACTGCAGAGATGACACTTCACAGTAACATGTCCAGGATTACACCATCTGTTGTTCACAAGCACTGCCAACCCACCTCCTTTCCTTTTGCCACTCCTCTTTAAATCTCTATCTGCTCGTATGGTCAGAAAGCCTGGCAAGGAAACACTGGAGTCGGGGATATGATCCTGCAGCCATGTCTCAGTGAAACGCATAACACTGCATTCCCAATACTCTGGATGGGTCCTTGTTGGGGCTTGAAGTTCATCCAACTTGTTTCCCAGCAATCTCACATTGCCCATCATGATCAATGGAAGAGGTGGTTTGAACTCCATTCTTCTCTCTTTCTCCCTCTTTTTTGCGCCTGCTCTGCATCCACGACGCCTCCTTTTCAACTCATTTGGGATTTGAGGCTGTAGTTGAGATATTATTTGAGCTTTGGAGATGTTAATCAGCTGCTCCCGGTTGTAAAAAACCTTGTTGTCATGGTTACACATCATAACAAATGTCCATAAGCAAAGATATTTCTGTAAAAAAATCCTTCCAACTGCGCAGCATCTGACACCAGAGGAAATAATCATCCAAAAAAAGTGATTTATATCCAGAAAAAAGAGGAATTAAAGTTTTCAAAAGTAATATCTCAGAATGAAAGTAACAGAGCTATTCTAACATGCAGCCAGCCACCTTGAGCGGCGCAATAAAACTGATCACTTCTACCGCCTCATCAACAGGAATGCACGTAAAGAGTGATGTGACATTAAAAGAGACCACTGTTTCATCAGTCTCCATGATGACATCCCTCACCTTATCCACAAAGCCCATGGTGTCCATGGAAAGACGAAACGTTTCTACAATTTTTTTTGTTTGTTTGTTTTGTTTAATTTTTTGAATGTCCAGAGGATCAGACTTAACTTTTTTAGATTTTTCTACCTGGAATATTGAGCATGCATCAGGATAATTTATTATTGTTGATTTTATTTTATTTTTTTAGTTTACTGATCAGTTAAATAAACTTACCATGCTCTGTTCACCAAAATACTCTACACAATATTTATTGCTCCCTGTTTCGGCTTTACTGAAAGTGAAAGAGAAATTTAAGTGAACGGCCATGACTTTAAAGTGGTCTTCATGTGCCCTCTGCTGGATTGTGCAATTACAGCTGGTTTCAACATTTTATGGGTGAAAATTACAAGTGTTTATATCTGCACATAATGGAACAAACACCTATATCGGCCCTACTGATATATCTGTCAGTCTCTAGTACACAGTATATTGTGTACTTTTACTTGGGATGTAACCTGTATTCAGGAATTTCAAATGTGTGGGGGGTTTTTTGGGTGGGAGATTTTGGTCAGATTCAGTCAGAATATGGTGGCGGATTTTGGTCAGATTCAGTCAGAATATGGTTTTCTTCGTTAATCTTTGCCTTCAGTCTTGACCCTTGAGCTCGGATTTCTTTAGATTCCTGAAATATTTTGATATTATGCACTATAGGTATTAGGATATTCAATTTTCTCAATTTTCCATTGAGCAACATCATTCTGAAATTGTTCCACAATTTTTAGATGCATAATTTTCTAGGTTGGTAAACCTGCCCATTTTTACTTCTGACAGATTCAGGCCCTCTAAAATGATTTTTTTAACCACAGTCCTCTTCCTGACCTGCTGCTGTTGGAGAAATTCTCTCTCACTAATGGTGTTAGGCAGAAGAGTTTTTGTTGGTATGATTACTTGCAATATCAGATTTCAGGAGAGCTTACATAAATACACATAGGCCTACCTGTATAGCGCATACATAGATGTATACCACGAAAAACAGTCACAAAAAAAAGCCACGAGCTGCGCTATCTGCTCGCTTTTATACTCCTCTCAGCTCAGTTGAGTTCACAGAGTTCAGGAGGTGTCCTTGGAGCCATCTGCAGCCTTCTCACCCAGTGCTCTCTATTAACCCAAACATATGGTTCATGGGCAGAAATAAGATAGTGTCTTGGGAGATGGTTTTGACTTGTTTTGTGCTCCTTGTTCTCAGGGAAGAGGGGAGGAACTTTCTCAGCCATATTAATTAAAACATCCATAACCTTTGACCAAAAATTCCCTGACAGCTGCCAATTAGCAAAATAAATCACGCAATGCTCCTTACTTCAGCTGTTTCTTACACACTTGTTTTTACAGCATTTTGTTGGCCCTGGTCCAATGTTTCTGAGATGTGTTGTTGCAACAGTGTCTTAGTAAGACATCTGATACATTTACTGTGTTTTACTGTGAGTAATTTTTATGAGGTTGCAAATCATTGCATTTTGTTTTTTGTGTTTTTTTTTTTTTTTTGCATTTGACACAACATCCCTACTTTTTAAAATTAGGGTTGATATTTTCTTCTTGTATGATGGAACATTTACCTTTATGTTCTCCTGCTGTCAGAGGACTGTGTGTGACAGACCAAGTTCAGATGGAGAAGCAGCCCATGAGAACGGACAAAGCGACAGCAAAGACCTGGGTGAGACACACAGCTACTAAATAATGAGAAATGTTTTTACACACAGCAGAACATAACAGGACGTTGTTCAGGTTTAAAATTATAGATATCGGTCAACCAATATAATGTGGTTTGCTCTGACTCCATGACAAATAGATAAAGTAAGATCCATCCATTATTTTCTGCTTGTTCTGAAGTCGGAGGCAGCAGCTTGATCAAGGAGGCCCAGAAATCTCTTTCCACATAAAGAAGAAAAGAAAGAAAAAATATTGAGATATATATCATATATTGCCATTCATCCTAAAATATCGAAATATTAATTTTGGTCCATATCGCCCAGCCCTAGCCCATAGCGATAGGCCCCCAATCCCATACTTGCGGAGCACCCCCTATAGTGTACCTCGAGGAACACGGTCAAATGTCCACAAAACACATGTAGAATGGATGGGCAAACTCCCATGACCCTTTGAGGACCTTAATGAGGGTAAAGAGCTGGTCCTGTATTCCACGGCCAGGACAGAACCCACATTGTTCCTCTGAGGTTTGATCAACGATTGGACTCGCTTCCACATTACACCTGAACTGACCTTACCAGGAAGGGTAAGGAGAGTGATGCCCATATAATTGGATCACACCCTCCAATCCTCCTTTTTCAAGAGGTCTGCCAATCCAGTGGCACTGCCCCCGATGTTCACGCCATGTTCAAAGGTGTGTCAACCAAGACAGCGCCACAACATCCAGAGCCTTAAGAAAATCAGGGCAGATCTTATCCACCCTTGGAGCCCTGCCGCCGCAGAGCTTTTTAACTTCCTCGGCAACCTCAGCCATGGTTATGGACAGACCAACCCCAAAGTCTCTCAGCTCTGTTTCCTCCATGGAAGACGTGCCTGTGGGGTTGAGAAGGTCAGAAAATAATTCCTTCCACCTCCTGACAACATCACTTGTTGTGGTCAACAGCAACCCACCTTCACTGAACACGGTGTTAGTAAAGCGTTGCTTTCCTCTCCTCAGCCAGCTGATGGTTTGCCAGAATCTCCTCGGAGCCAACAGTCTCTTTTGAAGGCCTGACTGAACTCCTCCCGCATCCAAGTTTTTGCCTTAGGAACAGCCATGGGTGCAGCCCGCTTGGCCCTCTAGTACTCCTCAGCTGCCTCCAGAGTCCCACCAGCCAACAAGGCCTGATGGGACTCTTTCTTCAGCTTCACAGCCTCCCTAACTTGGGGTGCCCACCACAGACTTCGAGGATGGTCACCGCGAGAAGCACCAACAAGCTTGTGGCCGTATCACAAAGCAGCCACCTCAACAAATGAGACATGGATCATGGCCCACTCTGACTCAATGTCCCCTGCTTCAGCTGGGATGTGGTTAAAGCTCTCATGGAGGTGTCAGTTGACGATCTTTCTGATGGGTTCTTCTGCCAGGTGTTCCCAGCAAACCCTCACTGCACGTTTGTGTCTACTGGGTCTGTCCGACATCTTCCCCCACCATCTGATCTAGCTTACTACAGCTCATCTCCTCTCTTAACCCGAGTGCCCAAAACAAACGTCTGCAAATGAAATGACATGACTACAAAGTCAATCATCGATCTATGACCTAGGGCGTCCTGGTGTCAAGTGTACTTACGGTCACCCTTATGTTCGAACATAGTGTTTGTGATGGACAAACTATGGCTAGCACAAAAGTCCAACAACAGAACACCACTTGAGTTCTGATCAGCGAGTCCGTTCTCCCAATCATGCCCTTCCAAGTCACACTGTCATTACCCACATGGTCCCCCAACAGAATAAAGGAGTCCCCAGCTGGAGCACCTTCCAGCACTCCTGCCAAGGATTCCAAGAAGGCCGGATATGTGGAACTGCCATTTGGCACATAGGCATAAACAACGGTCAGAACTCATCCCCCCCACCCAAAGGCACAGGGAAGCCACCCTCCCATCTACCGGGGAACACCCCCAACACACAGGCAGTAAGTTGGGGGGCTCATGCCTCTTTTCCATTAGTACCATTAGTACCGGTACAGCACAGTTCGACCAGCTGTTTTATTTTTATAGACACCAAAATTTAATCCGTTGCACATGTGCTTCCAAATATTTCTTTCTGAACGTTGCATTAAATTTTAAATAATAAATTAGTCAATTTAAAATTGCTCTGCTTCCACCACACCAACCCACACCAACTCTTAGCAGAATATCCAAACAACTGACCATGTTAGACCATGTTTGAGCTTCCTAAGGTCAGTTAGCGGAGGCGGACATCTTTAACTGGGTTTATTAGTCCACTTGTTTGTTCAGATCAGTCTAGTGATAATTATTGCTTCTCAGGACACCTGATTCTGAAATGAGAAACGGTATGTCTGGTAATGTGCCTTATGGTTCAGGGAGGAGTCCCTTGCAGCCCCGGAGAGGTCATCTTTTTACAACACGTCATAAACCCTGAAAAATTAGCAAAAAGACATGTTTCTGTTCTGCTGCACTTCATGCCAAACCAAGGAGATTCTGTCAGAACGGGCCGGGTCATTTACCAGCTGTTTGCTCCATGGACCAGATCCTCAGGGAGATGAGCCTCATTTCACTTGTCAGCTAAAATTTAGCTCCACTCCATTCTTCCTCTGCTCTGATTGCTTGGTTTGTTCAGCTTTTTGGGCTGAAAGTGATTTTCAAGCAGCGGCTGATATGACATGTGGAGCGGTGATTGACAGGTCTGATTGTGTACGACATGTATGTGTGTTTGGAGTGGGTTCAACCAATTTTGGTGGCAGAATATTTTTCAATGGGGTCGAGTTGAGTCACACTTATCAATGGCAAAGCTACTGAACAAACCCTGAAATTCAACACAGACCACAGGATCTGCTCAACAAGTAGGTCAGAGGTTTCCTTGGACTCGGACATGTTCTCCCTTCTGCAGAATGCTCCTCCTCACTCCTCTTCCGCACTTTGTTAACAGGAAGAACGTCAAATTAAATTACTGCTGAAGGGTATTTGGATTTTAGAAGGGCTCACAAAGGTCTGATTAAAGTCTCAGCAGCTGATTTTTGTTTAGATAATGCCAGTGATGCGTCTGCTGAACTTCATCATAAAAACAAATTTTCACAATTTATTTCTACCCTCTCCTTCCCAGTCACTGGAAAGTTGAGTTATAACTAGGGGTTGAATGACTACATAATTTTTAAACTCAACATTAACATAGTAGAACTCGAGTACTTGATGACATCGTAGGATCTAAAGATACAAAATAAATAAATAAATAAATAAAACCGCAAAAAAGGTCATTATTTACACAAAAACACCAACAAAACATTGGGAGCATATATTACGCTCCTACCATTTATTATGCAGCAAATAAGTCACAGGAAAAACTAAACTATTAGTTATCGTTATTAAGCTGCAAAATTGAAAGAAACATGCAGCATGTCAAAAACGAAACTAAAAACAGTGGGTCAGACGACCACCCTGCACCACCACCAGCTGTGGTGCGCATTAGGTTTAGTTTTAGAGATTAATATGTTTATAGTTTTTTTTTTTTATAGGTTTCGAGATTAATATTTTTGCTTTTTGTTTGTGAAACAAGGTCAGAGGAAGCTGGTTCTGGTTCGGTCTATTGGACCCGGTGTTGCACCATATTCTGTGACCTGCAACAGTACATGCAACACTGCACCCTATGGTCACAATATACAATGGTCACAGAATATGGTGTAACACCGGTTCACAATGAGCTCCAAACAGTCAGGAAGTTGATTCATTTTCTTTTTCCTTACGGTAGTTGTACCTGAAGATTCATATTTAGTGAAATATTTCCAGACTATTGATACATTTCTACCTGTTTGTCAAGACTGGGCCTGTTCCACTCCATCTGCTTGGAGGAATCCATTTTGTAACCTGTGCCCAGTGCGGATCACGTGACGCAACGACGTAACGGCGACGTGAAATAAAAAAACTCGATAGATGTCCTAGGAATCGATGTAGAGATTACTCGAGTAGTCTGTTAAAGCCCTAGTTATAACATATTGTCTGTGTGTTTCTCAGGAAAAGCAAAGAAAACCTCAAAGTCTGAGCAGAAAACCGGGACCGTGGGGAAGGGAGCTGGCAAGAAGATCACCAAGATCATTGGTTTAGGGAAGAAGAAGCCGTCCACGGATGAGCAGACTTCATCTGCAGAGGAAGACGTGCCCACCTGTGGTAAGACAGCTCCTGTGACGTGCATTTCCTACAAATACAAAAAAGTGGAAGAAAACATCCTAATATCCTGATGCATGTTCAATAATCCAGGTAGAAACATCCAAAAAAGTTCAATCTGGTCCTCTGGACATTCAAAAAACAAAACAAAAAACAAAACAAAGCAAAAAAATATAGAAACGTTTCGTCTCTCATCCAAGAGACTTCCTCAGTCTGAGGTGCTGTATTCAGCTCAGTCTCTTAAATAGCACCTTCTCAGAGTGGATCAACCAGTTTGCTACTGACAACCAAAACCAGCTGCTCACATGGTCAAGAAGGACCATCAGCCTAACAATGGATCATTAGCACACTGATGTCTGTTTACTATTCACAGAGGGCTGAGTGATACTAGCAATCACAGCGTAAGAGAGGGACAGTTGAACCCAGAGGCCTCCACCCCTGTTTAATGATGGACGATTTCTTTTCACAAAGATGGCCTCCTTTACTCCTCTCTCAAACCATCGTTCCGCTCTGTCCAGGATGTGAACATCTTCATCCTTGAAAGAGTGACCGCTGGCCTGGAGATGAGTGTAGACTGCAGAGTCCTGGCCTGTGTGTATATATATATATGTATGTATATATATATGTGTGTATGTATATATATGTATGTATATATATATATGTAT